GATCCATGTGTTACATGAATAAGCATAATAAATAGAATAACTAGGGTAGAGAACTACTTCGGCCTAATCGCCCATTTTGGGCCTATCGAGCAGAAAACTAACTTCAAATATATCCATGATTTTAGAGTTAGCAAGTCAATTATGCGTTTGGTACGATACTTTAGTTAATAAGCTTCCGAATGAAGTTAATGAGAACGCGTGGTATGAAGGTTTGAACCCGTTATTCCCAAAAACAAAAGAAGCGCTCCGACCGAATCAATTTTTATCTTCATCCTATAGGCCGAAGTGAATTCTTTGGCGTTTCAATGGCGTTTCAATGCGTTAGGCCGAATTTAGAATCCGTAGGCCGAGTTTGGCGTCAAGAAGCGGTGTTAGACTTTTGACAATATCTCAACGATTGGTTTCTCTTTATCAAATCTTTTGGTACGTACGGGAAGGTAAATAAATTTGGAAGCCAGCGCTAGATTAAGACATACTAAGTGCGGGTTGTGCTTAATATGCCGGAAATGGCTTAGTTAACCCTACCGTAATAATAAGGGTTAGCATAATAATAATAAAAGTTAGAATAATAAGATGGCGGACTACAGTTACACTGAAATTGACAAATATTGTCAAATACCCCACAATATGGGTATTTTTGGAATCGGAATGACGTGCAGAGACCAGAAATAGATGTCTGATGCTGTTTTGAAATCCAATATGGCGGCTTCTGGATAAAGATAAACTTGGAAATACTGTCAGATAACCCAAAATATTGGTATTTTTGAATTCGAGGTAACGCGTAGGGTCCGGATCAATGTCAGATGCTTTTTTAAAATCCGAGGTGGTGGTTCCGGTTAGAGACAAACTTTAAAATACTGTTAACTACCCCACAATATGGATAATTTATGAATCGGGGTGACGTGTAGGGACCATAAATTGATGACTAACGCCTTTTGAAATCCTAGAGGCAGCTTTCGCTTAGTGATAAACTGTGGAAAACCGGCAAATAAAACATGGCCCACTTAGTAATTAGACTCACTTTGCTTATTACAGCGCTCGTAGTGGACGTATTGGGAAGCTTTTGACGTCTATTTGTTGACATCAACAATAGCAATAACAGTGAATAATTTGTTTCGTATTTTTCTTAAAATATAAGGAATAGTATGCACTTGAGTGAAGACCGTTTTCAAATCCGATAATTCATATCCGAAATAGACCCAAATCATGTTGTTTCATTACTAAGTGGGCCATGGTTTACCTCACAATGGTATACTCTGACAGATTGAAGTATCATGCAACCCTACTACAAGAAAAAAAAGTGATAATACTTTTTTGAACAAGATTTAATTTTTTTAAGTGGCCTTTGAATAAGCGCGGAGCAAGATGGGGCAAGAAGGGTCAGTCGCCAAAAATTAAAATTAAAATGTTAAACCTTGTGAAAACATTGAGTGTATGTCAACAATGATAAAAATATAGGATAAATGTCGGCAACATCAATACTTTTACCTATTATCGTCAGCGACATCGGCCTTTGCGTTTCAGAGGACATCGGGTGGCCAACATTTAGCATTCTTAGACTTTATTTACTCCCCCCACACGACAATAGGTAAATGATTTGACGAAGTCGGCATTTACCATGCTCAGCAAACCAAAAACCAGCTTCTATTCACCTTTTTTCAATACATTTTTAAGATAACAATTCTTAGAATGTATATCACGACCTAGGATCATGATTAGGCTACTTTCTTGGCAGTTTTGTGTACCGTCTGTCACGCAATGCCAAAAACCTCGCAATGCACCTCAAATCCAAACCAAAACTTAGGTTGACAGATGGCCCATTTTGCTCCTTTAAAATGATTAGTTTTGCCCCAGTAAAGGTGAAACAACATGTTTTTTTTTATTTATTGTAATATTGTTATGCAATTTGTCAATCTTTGTATATGATGCGATGGATAAATAACAAAATTATGTAGAAATATTTTTTTTTGCAAGCGTATGGTTCACCCTGTCACGTTTTGCTGTATTGCCTAAGGAAAGCTGACATTTTACTTTGCATTTTTTATAGAAAAAAACGGTTGATTACAAAACTTTAAAAATCATTCACAGCAAATCGATTTCATTTCAGACACCATGAATAAACATGATTGTGCAAGAATAACGAAAAATAGGCATGAAACTATCACTGACTTATCTTGCCCCTCTTTACCCTATTTTTGGAATGGAGGTGACGTATAGGGATTAGAAATTGATATTTGACGCCATTTTGAAATGCAAGATGGTGGCTTCCGGTTAGAGCAAAAATAAGATAAATAAGTCAATTTTCATCCATAAGGGGCTGTTCATAAACTACGTAGACAGTTTAGGGGGGGGGGGGTTGACAATTATCCACGGCCCATACAAATTTTAAAAATTTTGTATGGAAGATTGTCTACGCAGGGGGAGGGGGGGGGGGTCAATAATCCCAAAAAACTGTCTACGTAGTTTATGAACAGGCCCTAACTGATACAAGCGGAAGCAAACACATTAGAATGTAAGTCAACCGACGAATGCGGTCCAAAGAGCTTGGCATAAAGGGTGTCCACGATGAAATTGCCACACACAAAATTGATTCGCAAAATTCGAGTTTTCATCCGATTGCCATCAAATTTTCAGGGATTGAGAAATAACTATTAAACTTCATTTTACCATTTTACTCGTATTTTATTTACAGTCCATACGCAAATGCCCGCACCTTGGCCTTAACCCCGGCCATAAGATTCTGCACAACCTGTGAATCAACCGTTTTTTGCATGTAAACCCATACTTTCTTCAGTTCCTCGACTGTCTTCACTACCTTAGGTCGTTTAAGAAGGTGCTGCTTCATAATCGCCCAGTACTTCTCGATGGGGCGGAGCTCCGGAGTGTTGGGAGGGTTGAACTTTTTCGGCACGAAATTGATCTTATTGTCCACATACCACTTCAGCACGTCCTTGGAGTAGTGGCATGAGGCCAAATCCGGCCAGAAGATTGTTGGGACGTTGTGGGCCTTCAGGAGAGGAAGCAGCCGCTTCTGGAGGCACTCTTTTATGTACACCTGTCCGTTCATCGTGTCCTGGGTCACGAAAGGTGCACTCCGCTTCCCGCACGTGCAGATGGCTTGCCAAACCAGGAATTTCTTCGCAAATTTGGACATCTTCTGAGTGCGGACATGCTCCGGAACGCTGAACTTATCCTTGGCCGTGAAAAACAGGTTGCCGGGGATCTGTTTGATGTCGGCCTTCACATATGTTTCGTCGTCCATGATGCAGCATTCAACTTTCGTCAGCATGTTGAGGTACAACTTCCTGGCACGGGTTTTGGCGGACTTGTTATGCTTCTTGTCGCGATTAGGGGCCTTTTGTACCTTGAACGTTCGAAGCCCAGCCTTAGTTTTGGCCTTCTGGACAAAACTTCGGCTTAGGTGCAGCTTCTTAGCCACATCCCTAACGGAGGCGTTCGGATTTCGGTTGAAGGCCCCAACTACGCGGTTGTGATTTTTGGTGTTGTACGGAATACTTTTTCCTTCACTTCTGGGCTTCCGATCGGTGGTCAACCGTTCCTCGAACCGCTTAATCACTCGCGACTCCGTGGAATTCGCGATTCTCAACGTTTTAGCGATGGAACGATGCGAGAGATCCTTGTTCTCGTGATGAATGCGTAAGATTTTATCACGCACGAGCTGTTCTTTCAACTCCATTTCCACGAGTTTTGATCAAAGGACTTTAAAACTTGCAGGATGTAAATAATGCACTATGAACTAAATCCACCCAAATTTTCATTAAATTCTACCCAACGGTTTTAAAGTTAGAGCAATTTCATAGTGTGGCAATTTCATAAAGTGAAGTTTTCCAGTACATATTTTGGTTGAGAAGTACTAAAATTCTAGAACTATAATAATTATAATAATGATCAAGAAGGAGCTGCAGGCACTGGCGGCCACAGCATGTATTTGGGGAGGCAAGGGGAGGCAAATTTATATCAGTATTAGTTTTAAACTTGTAAAACCTATGTGTATCAAATTATGGTGCTCAAAAGACCCAAAAATAGCTATCAAATGAACAAAACAACTTACGGGATCAGTTTGACAGATCTTTGCCACCCCTACTGCGGCCGCTAGTAACTGCAGGTACAGATTTTCTATCGAATCAACTGTGTTTTGGAGTCGTTCCTATCTGCCGTCAACAAGATAAAGGTGATAAGCACGTTTTTCGTGTCCTTGTTGACCTTCAGCTTTGGGGTGATAAAGTGGAACAAAACAGACTTGGACGCAATAGAGCGAGTAGTGGCATTCACTAAGCATCGCATGTATCATCCACCTGCATGTATCATATAGTCACCTTGTAACGTTTTGAAGGAGGAAGTGGCCGAAGTCACCGATATTCCGATATTCAGATCCCGCAGTTGCGAATATACTTCGAAGAAAACCACAACCGTACGTAGCATTACCAGCTGAACTGCGACCTGAAAACATTTGATGATAAAGTCCTATCGTGAAAGCTGAAGGAGCTGCATGAAACATTACACGGATGATTACACGGCATTTTAAAAAGTTGCAAAATATAACATTGCACAAAGAAGTTATTAATTTAATGATATTTATCATATTATTGTTGTTGGATGATTACACGGCATTTTAAATAGTTGCAAAATATAAAAAGCATATAAGGCTTTTCTTCACATCACTGATTTTGGTTCCGTTTCTTACGGGCAGTTGCCGCTTCGTTAAAATTGTTAAGAGCTTTAACGAATTCACCGACTGCAGTGTTCCGGTCGATCCGGAACTTGGAGATTGCTGTATCTAAACAATAAAATAAAAATAAATCGAAATAGTTATTGGTATGGCACTGCAATGTTAACAATTCGATGAAGAGGAAAAATAAATCTTTATTACGCCTGAAATATGAAATATTTTAATTTACCTAGCAATATGCTTATAACGTGAAGCTCAGCTGCAGGTTGGGCCAAAACTTCATGGAGAGCATTATACGCTATGCGGCCACTCCACGTATGTCGACCTGTATTCTGGAACATGTTTTGCACCGCTACACGGAACAAATCATACGCTGATTTGTTAGATAACGATGAGAACTTTTGTTGGAGTACTGCCTCCACATCTGCGTTTTTGCTTAACTCTTCAAGTCTGTTTAAATCAGCGTCATCGCTAAGTGGGAACTCTACTCTCATTGACGTTGTTTTCGGCATAACAATTTTCATAATCTTATCCACTGATTTTTGTAAATTTTCAACCAGCCGCTTAACGCCCACGCAGTTATAGTTTATGATGTCTATCTTTTTGTCTGGAACCAAACATTACGTTAAATTTTTCAGTTTATACATTATTACAAAAAAAAAAACGATCGGTTGTTGCTCTACTCAAAAACTCATCCCAGAGTAATTGATATATTCTATTTAGTAGAACTTTATAATAAGTCGATTCACTGACCGCTTTTAAAATTACTTTGTTGTCATTTCGATGTATACTATTGTGAGAGTAATTCTCCGGATTTTTGGTTGGTTTTAGTGTGATATGAGAGTTGCTTTGGGATGAGTTTTAGAAGAAGATCGTTGCAGATATTATCATTAGGTTGTGTCAAATATGCATAGTGGATCACAGCTATTTTATATTTCATGTATATTAAGCTCCTCAACAATTGCGCCAAAATTATACAAATTTGGCTACGATTTGAATTTGAGGGAGAATTTCAAAGTTTTTTTTGGAAGAATCGAAATAAAAGTATTCATCTACCTGTATTACAATCAAAAATAGATAAACCTTCCAGCAGTCGCGATGCGTTGAGTATACGTGTAAAAAACATACTATTCAAACATGATTTTTTTTTCAACAACTTCCATGGATATTTAAAAAATGTATGAACATCACTAGAATGAGAAAGAGTTGATTTGTAAATACATTATAAATCCGGAGGGGTGACCCCGGCGTAGTGGTTAACATCCATTCCTCTCACGCCAAAGTCACGAGTTCGAATTTAACCCCCGGGCCCAAGAGTGTTAAAGTGACTATAATAAAAAAAAAATCAGGATTAAATGGAGTGAAATAATATTTTTTATCCACATACAAAAAAACATCATATTTTGGGGTGATTTTAAATGCAACAAAAACCCAAAGACAACGACTTTGTTGAAGACTACAAAACGATTCAGCTCTTAAAGCAATAAGTTGTTCTTAATTTACTTAAGAGCGGTTTAAGCCTAGTGCTTCGCGCAACCTACAGGTGTATTCTTCTTCTATATGGCTTTGACGCTCTTTAACGAGCTTTTGTCTGCTCTCATCTTTGTGTTCTAGATGCACTTCCACAGTTGTTAATTGAGAGCTTTCTTAGCCTGTACCATTTTTGCATGTGTATTATTGTGTGGCAAGTATACGCTAAGCCCCGGGAAGTCGAGAAATTTTCCTATCCGACCGGGCCGGGATTCGAACCCAGCCGTCTCCAGCATGGTTTTGCTTTGTAGCCGCAGCCTTTATCGACTGAGCTAAGGGAGGCCCCTGTTTTATACCTACAGGTATAAAGAGATTGAATTTATGTGCCAAGCACTAAGCCTTATACCCCGGACAGACTATGGCTTATATCATGTAATATAGGCTGTCTTGCAATGAGCACTCATACATAGGATTTCCAGTGAAAAGTAGATGTATGAGTGCTCATTGCAAGACAGCCTATATTACATGATATAAGCCATAGTCTGTCCGGGGTATTAAGTATCCTTGGCCAATATTTAGCAAGTTTTGAATTTTTGAATGTTAATGTCAATTTTATGTCAAATCCCATACAAACTATGATATTCTCCCACAAATCCACATCCTAACCGCATTCGTTTAGCATCCACTTAGCATAGAGACCTTAATACACATAAAAAAGCAATGAGAAGTATGGGGTTTTAAAGTTGACTCACTCTAAAGACCATATAAAAAAAAATCAGTGATACTTACCGAGCTGTTCAATTTTTTTAATTATTTCGTCAGTATTACCTTTATTTATTTAGGGATAAAGTAATAAAAATAATTGAATATCGATAAAAAAGGATGAGAAGTAATAACATAATGAAATTATTCAAGGAAATACGATATAGTTTTGTGAAGTCATTAAAATTTGCAAATCGATTTACGTACTTCCGGTCATGCTTGATTCCATACATTTCTGCATTGTCTTGTCAATATGGGTATTTCCGGAATCGGGGTGATATCTAGAGACCAGTCTGATGCCATTTTTAAATCCAAGAGGGCGGCTTCCGATTATAGAAGAACTGGTATATATCACAAATCCTTCAATATAGGTATTTTTCGAATCGGGATGACGTATAAAGACCAGAAATCAATGTCAAAGCCCACTTGAAATCCAAGATGGCGGTTTCCGGTTGTAGGAAAACTGGGAAATACCAGCAAGTACCCTTCAATATGGATATTTTTAGATTCGGGAAGACTTATACAGACCGGATATCAATGGCAGTCGCCATCTTGAAATCCAAGATGGCAGTTTCCGGTTTCAAAAAAACTGGGAATCAATATGGATATTTTTGGAATCGAAATGACGTCTAGAGACCGGAAATCAATGTGTGACGCCATCTTGAAGCACTGATGCTAATTCGACAGCTGCTCCTGGTCTTGTTCTTGTTCTTGTTGAAAATTGGCCACTTCGCCGGGGACCCCGGAACATTCCCGGGAGGGCTAATGTGACCGTTGACTTTGATTAAGGCCATTACCGGCCAAGATTTGTAAAATAATGAAATTTGATGTGTCGCACGATGGCTTTTGGTTCTTGTCGAGAATTGGCCACTTCGCTGGGGGCACCGGAACATGCCCGGAAGGGCTAGTGTAACTGTGGACTCTCAATAAGACCATTACCGGCCAAGATTTATAAAATCATGAAGTTTGATATGTCACACGATAGGTTTTTGTTCTTGTTGAGAATTGGCCACTTCCCCGGGGGCACCAGGACATGCCCGGGAAGGCTAGTGTGACCATGGACTTTCAATAAGACCATTTCCGGCCAAAATTTGTAAAATCATGAAGTTTGATATGTCGCACGATAGGTTTTGGTTCTTGTCGAGAATTGGCCACTTCCCCGGGGACACAGCAACATTTCCGGGAAGCCCAATGTGACCGTGGAACTTCAGTACAACTGCCATTGGTCCAATCACATCATTTGAGAGAAAACATGATGTTCATCGTGTGTATACTTATTACAGAACAGTAAAGCCGAATGCCGACCAAAAGTGACCCCAACGGGAACCGGAATAACTCCGGAACCATGTATTGATCCAAATGTTTTCAGATGGATTCAAAAAATTCAATAGATTCCCGACGAAATGCATTTTGTTGTAAAGAAAAAGATTGAGAAATTATGTTTTTTGAGCTAATTGCATTTTGAAGACTATGCAAATTTAGACGTTAGGCACGCAAAGGTTAAAACGTTGTCATTAACTTACGTTCTGGAGTTTCAATTCGGCGAATTTGTATGCATTTCGGTAGTATAAAATGCATAACTTCACTCGGGTCTAAAAGAGAATTTTAAATATATGTTTCAAAAACCGATAAAATGTAGATATATATTAATATGAATGCATACCGTTTAAATCATCACTATGCGTAGTTTTTTGTTTTTTGCTGCTGGGTCCAGCTTCACCGAGTTCGTCAACATCGCTTTTATCGGACATTTTTACAATCTTTTTCGAAATAAAGAGCTTAAGAGCTAGCTACGCAGAGTTGTTCAGTGAATTTTTCGTACTCGATTTATGTCGTATATTGAAAGCGTAGTAAAACGAATAAGTAATTTTGCTATTCAGGGGAAACATGACAGAAGGGTCTAACTCGAAACGTAAACAATGACTTGGATCGTCGGTTTCTTACGAATGACAACACAAATATTGCATGACAGGAGCACGACAGCTTATTCTCTCATTTTTTTCGTTTTACTTTGCATTCTACTCTCTTCTTCGCTCAGTTCGAGCAATTCCACTCGCGAAAAGCAGAGAAGAGTAACTCTCCAGCCCGACAGCAGCTAGTTCGTCCGACGGCTCATCGAAATAGAAACATCGAAGCTCTCGCAAGTCTCTCAAGTCAAAAGGATGCTTTGCCTCTCATGATCTCATATCATTATGTTCTCTTTGGTCCTCGTACAAAGGGTAATTTTGAAATTTTTACTGGACATAATTTTGTTTTATCAATTGGAATTTATTCACTTTAATGTTTAAGCTGTATTCAGACCAGAGCGTGCTTGGCATGCGCGGGGCGGGATTTGCGTTGGTATGAAAGAGACAATAGTAATACAACACTTGTGCGCTAACTGGGCGGTCTTCAACTGGGCGTTCGTTAACTGGGCTGTAGCCTATTTAAAAAGCAGTTATACGTCAAAAATAGATGTCACATTTAGTCGATGTCATAATTGATGGGGGGTATTCGAATTGAATGTTAAGTGTTAATATAAATAAATTTGAAATTATTTTCATTTCACACCGAAATCAAGACTTGAAAGCCTTTTAAGTGAAAGCGTTAAGCCTTTCTAAATTGACGTTTTAAACAATATTCTTGATAATAACAATAACAAACTTTACACTGTTTCAATTCAATGCACGTGATTTTTTTAACGTCAATCAAACAATCCATTGAAGTTCCCCTCAATGGTTTTTGACGTTTGACAAGCCAGCCCAGTTAGCGAGTGGAATTCGTTAAGTGGGCTGCGCTCTTAGCCCAGTTAGCGAACAAGTAATGCAATTGATAAACATTCAACAGTTGTTAATATCAGAGATGTTCCATGTTTCAGGACAATATGAACACGTAAAGCATCTATAAGGGCGGCCTTTTTTTCGGATATTTGGTAACTTATTGCTAAACACAATGATAATGGAAATATAATATAAACGTAGGGGAAATGCAGGTAATGTTGGCCTAAGTGTCCCTAATTTGGACCCATATATAAATTCTGCAATTAACTAAATTTTCTATAGCAATCAAAAATAGCCATTAGTAACGTCCCAATAACGCGTTCATCTAGAAAAAAATTGATAAATAGCAGACTTTTAGCGATGGGCCCAAATTAGGAACATGTAGGCCGAAATTACCTACATTTCCCCTATATATTTCATTTCATTTTCATTTTGTAGCGTTTGGTATGGCAATGGGAGTGCAAGTCAATCCAAAGCCGAGGATAAAGGAAGGGTAATGGCTGAATAGCCTATGCGGACCACTTGAACGCCATGGGAAGGGATTGGAGAGGTCGGTTATTGGGGGGTTTTGAGGAAATGGCACATAGTAATAGATTTGTGCTGCAAAATGTAATGAAACCGAAAATTCATCTCCCACTGATTCATCCTTTCACATATATACCAAATTGATATTTTAAAGCAATAATAAAAAAATAAACAGACAATATATGAAAAGGCTAGTTGCCAGTTGCTTTAAAGCCTGGTTGCCTCCCTAAGCGGACCCCCGCATCCTAACTCTTTTGTTAATCTACTTAATGTTATTAGGCTGCCTAAATGTTCTTATTTAAGTTCGTTTGATGATTATGATATCTCATTAGCCTTATTTAATAAATAATTGAAATCTCTAATCTACCTAATCAATTATAACCCATGCTTTATTAAGTACCTGCACTTGTGCATGTAGTCTATCATGCATGTATCAAGTTGTTTTTGACTTTGACCTATATTTATTATATCTTAGTTCGTCCCAGGTGACACCTTCAAGTGACTAAAATGCTTCACTTTGATGTTAGTTTCCTAGCTGATTTTTAGATTATATAGGATATATGCTCCAACTACGCTCACACATTTCCACTATGTCGTCAAACAATTACGTATGGATATGTCACAATTGAAGCACGCCACAGTGGAAATCGCGAGCCATAGTTCAAACACTTATCCCAAACCAAAATGAAGCATACATAAGATTAGTTACAATACCATGTACAAAAATGGTGTTTAACATTGTTCCCTGAGTAATGCTTATACGTAAGCGCACTACTACCATAGAGGTAACTCTAAGACCACTGGGTCCCGAAGAAAATCATTATTATTTTTGGCTCACTCAGTACCAGAACAACGGTCCCAAGCAGTCCCAAGCTATTTCACTCACCCCTGCATGTTCTGCATGAATCCACACACCCCTGATGTTATCTGTCAAACTTTCATAGCGAATCAAAACAAACATAGTGTAGTAATAGAATTTCAACTAGAATAGGGTACGTTAATCGTTTGCTTGGGACCAATAGGCTACTAAAGTGGTGAGCCAATTTAAAGTCGTTAGTTTCGTATTGATTGTTGCTACTACCATAGAGGTAACTCTAAGACTAGAAGGTCCCGAAGAAACGTGCTCAACTTTTTGGCTCAGCTCTGGTACTCTCTTCGGTCCCAAGCTAACCGATTCACCCCTCGAAACATAGGAAAATCCAATAACCCCTCATTTTATCTGTCAAACTTTCATAGCGAATCAAACAAACATTTTGTAGTACTAAAATTTCGACTAGAATGGGGTACGTTAATCGTTTGCTTGGGACCAATTCCCTAATAAAAAATAACCATAAACGAACGATAACCCAAATCATTGAACTATTCCACAAATGGTTTGGATGATACCCAGAACACGTCGTTAAGCAAATTAACTATACAATTTTTATCAGGGTTGGCTAGTCAAGTAGTGAGCCAATTTAAAATCGTTAGTTTCGTATTGATTGTTGCTACTACGCGGCTCTTAAAAAAAGGAGTAGCAGGTGTGATAATATCACTTCAGACTAGAACCAACAATCAATACGAAACTAACGATTTTAAATTGGCTCACTACTTGACTAGCCTATTGGTCCCAAGCAAATCGATTAACGTACCCCATTCTAGTCAAAATTCTAGTACTACACAATGTTTGTTTTGATTCGCTATGAAAGTTTGACAGATAAAATGAAGGGTTATTGGATTTTCCTATGTTTCGAGGGGTGAATCGGTTAGCTTGGGACCGAAGAGAGTACCAGAGCTGAGCCAAAAAGTTGAGCACATTTCTTCGGGACCCACTAGTTTTAGAGTTACCTCTATGCTAGAACTTTGGTTCTCTCATGCAATGGTTCATCAGAGAGGGGAAGCTCAGTAATCCTCATCGCATGCTCATGTCTAAACGCTCCACTATGAAGCATAATATTAGGCCCTCCCACCAACGTCCAGGTTAAAAACTAGCCAAGGGGAGGGAATATAATATAAATGTATGTATATGTTAAACAAGTATTAACTTTTTGGGAAATTTTATAGTCAAAAATAAATAATAATAGGTAGGGGAAATGTCTCTAATGTTGGCCTATGGATCGAAGATTGGGCCCATTGCTAAAAATCTGCTATTTATCAATTTTATCTAGATGAACGCGTTATTGGGACGTTACTAATGGATATTTTTGGTTGCTATTGAAAATTTAGTCGATTTCTGAATTTATGTTTAGGCCCAAATTAGGGACACTTAAGCCGACATTACCTGCATTTCCCCTATTTAATATGACCAAAAAATCTCCTAAATCGCTTAGTGTTCGCCGTCCCGCAGAACCGCAGAGAGCTTTTTTTAAGAGAAACGAGAGAGTAGTAGGTCGTTGTTGACTACCGCACACAGCATGATGACCAAAACAAAAGAGAAACAAGAAACAACACTGGACTGGACTGGACGACTGAGACCGGTCAGTGGTGGACGAGTGAAGTTTTTTTTTTCGTAGTGTTGTTCTCCCGTGGTCCCGTGTCCAAATACAAAGTAGGTTTTTGGGTGTGCTACCGTAAGTTACTGGAGGAAATTTGCGGACAGCCGATACCGATAGTGGCTCGATGCTCGATTCCTCGGTGTCGGTGGGTGCAGTGCAGTGGATTCTCTCGCTCGCAATACTCTCCGGTCTCTCCCAGCCTGGTTCCCTCCCACCCAACTCCATCTAGCTGCTAGCTGCGTTGCTGGTGTGCACTGTGTTTTGAAAGCCACGGGCACGGCCGCCACGGACCGAATAAACAACATCGAACCAAAGAACGAATCATCGCCGCAGTTTGCTTCCAACATCTGATTGTACCGCATGTATATCGGGTGAGCAGCGTGTCTAGCAGTTTCCTATGTGGTGTGTTGTAGATCTCCAATCTTCTCCTTCTGCAACTGGCTGGACTCTATCTGACTGATTTCATCATACGGAGTCGGAGTGTACGATTTCAAAGTGCAAAATAGGAGAAAGAGATAGAGAGAGAGAGAGAGTGCTTTTGTGTGCAGCTATCGATGGTGGCTGCTTTGTAAAATTGTGTGCTCCAGTGCCCAAATTTCGTGTGTGCATATTTTCCCTGTGCTGTGAAAAAACCGTAAACGCGTTTCCTGTCTAGTCTCCCCACCCAACAGACCAGAATAACAACGTTCAACGTAACGAGGTGTAGTACTGTTAGGCGCGATCCATGCGGTGCAAATTCTAAGCGAACCCCAGATTGCGCAAAATTCCGCTGAAACTGCCACCATCCAATCCAATCAACCCAACCAACCAACAAAAGTACCAGTGTTCAGAGCGTTTGAACAAGCATAAAGAAGCAAGGAGAGAAAAAAATCAATGCGATAATCATCTTCTGTCAACTGTGTCGAAAACGCAGTCGAACAGCACCAAAAGAGACACATCCGGTCCCGGAATTGGTCGTTCCGCGGAAAATCGATATCATTAAATCGTGCATCAACAAGCAGCCTCCAGAAGAGAAGAATCTTTAATACAGTTTGCATGTGTCTGCTTTGCTTTGTCAGCCCTGTATTTGCAACATTATCCATCTACACTTGTCAAATTCCCAAATTCTGAGTAAATTTTTCGCTGGAGGAGTGCAACAAAGTGTTGTGAATGAAAGTGGGCAAAATTCATCCCAGCATAGTAAGTGAGAGAGTGCACAGTCGAGAAGAAAAGGCAAAGCGGAAAATTTTCAACCCAGAAGAAGAGTGTATAGGAGTGAACTAAACAAAAAGACCAAGGCCGCCGCTAGTTCAATCTGTGAGGAGCCATCCAAGAGCGAAAGGTTTGCCTGCCGGAGATAAACCAACCAACAGTAACAACAACAATAACAACAAGTGACAAGCGAAGCGAACTGGACAGCAGAACTCGTGCTCGCGCTGCTGCGGCAAATCGTGTGTGACTCACCCAAACAAGGTAAATGATGTGAAGGATCTTTACATGGGCTGTTTATTGGCCAAATTACCAATTATGGTTTTTATCGGACCGGGTGTCGGTAATGGGTTGAAATCTAGTTAATTGGAAATTGGACTCCGGCAGTGACCTTGGCAATATGGCTGCATGATAGCATGCAGATCGATTACGATCGCCCAATTGGTTTGCCAATTTGTATTCAATATTGTAGGTATTGAAATTGATATGCAATACGCGTTCCACCACAAGAAATTATTACCGACTTCGGTAATTTTTACCGAACTTTCAACAGCTGAACGTTCGGTAAAACTTGGACCATTATGTTAAAAGCTGTTTCATGATATGTTTACTTATAACATTGATCGAACCGGTTCAGATTACTTCTAGGAGGGTTCTCTGTTGCTCCATCGTATTCGCCTTTGAAAACTAGCGTAAATTGATGTGTCGTATGCCCATTAGACTGATGCAAAATTCAAAAGTTTCGCTTCACAGTGCTCAAACGGTTTCTAATCGGGTCCTGATAAGCCTCCCAAAATTTAAATTAATTTGGTAAGAAACTGACTTGGCACAATCCATTTGAAGTTTACACGGAAATTACTATGGGAAAACCAAACTTTTTGTTCATTGTCTTCTAGAAAGTTTCTCGAGTTCTCCATCCTACTCGCCTTTGAAAATTAGCGTGAATTAACACTCCGAATACGGTGGGTAAAAAACTTTACGCCGACCACGAAGCCTCCGAAAAACGTGTAACGGCAAGTTTGCAATGTCATAGCTTAGCCATTTCTTAATGAATTTCAAAAATTGTGGTACCTTTAGAATTCCTAGGGCTTGTAGATGATTTTGATTGCAAAAAGATTGAAAATAGAGTCGTCTACTTTTTTAAAAGCCGAAAAGAGTTGTTACACGTTTTTTTGAAAAGTGTATTTGTAGGGTTTTGCAAGTGACGCAAGATCTGTAATTTAGATTAATGGGCACAAATATTCACAATTAGTCAGAAAACAGTCATGGTTCCTATATATGGATCCTGGAGACAACGGAACGGTCCTCAAAAAATCCGGAACATCCGTAAAAGTGGACAATCCATGAACCGAATCCTAGAGCCCTGCGGTTTTTTTTTTTGAAAACATTAGGAACTGTGATATAAAAAAATATTTGGGGTCGTGACATAAACATGTACCTGGATGGCCATGGGACCGTCCTCCGGAAGATCTGGAACATCCGTAAAAGTGGACAATCCATGAAACTGATCCTATTATTATTATTTAGCTTTATTAAGGAGGCTTTCAGCCTTGGGCTGGTTCGCCTCCAAACCAAACTGATCCTAGAGCTCCGTGTTTTTTAACATTAGGATCTGTGATATAAGAATGAATTTGGGCCATGGACCCAGATGACCATCGGACCATCCAGCAGAAGATCCGGAACATCCGTGAAAGTAGTAAATCCACGATCCTGATCCTAGAGCTCCGCAGTTTTTAAAAAACACTAAGAACTGAGATGATAGAATGAATTTGGGATCGTGGCATAAACATGAACCTTGATGGCCATGAGACCGTTCTCTGGAAGATCCGAAACATCCGTGAAAGTGGAAAATTCACGAAACCGATCCTAGAGCTCCGTGGTTTTCTTGAAAACGTTAGGAACTGTGATATTAGAATGAATTTGGGATCGTGACATAATCAAGGACTCAGATGAGTCATGACATAAACATGGACCCAAATGGCCATGGGGCCATCCTCTGGTAAGTCCAGAACATCCGTAAAAGAGGTCAATCAATGAACTGATCATATAGCTCCGCAGTTTTTTTTTATAAAAACATTAGGAACTGTGATATTTGTGGTCGTGACAAAAACATGGACCTTAATGGCCATATGAAGATACGGAAAATCCGTAAAAGTGATCTGGTCAGTGGTGGCGGGGGGGGGGGACACCCCTCACCATCCCTCTCCAAAGGGGGAGTTTGGTAAAGAGAGATGAAAAAACCGATTAGTACCTTCCTTAAAAGTTGTCCTAGCTCGCTATTCTAATATCTATATGCAATCTTCACACTGCCGTACACTAACGGAACTATCAACTCTATGCTTTCATCTACTCCATCTATCGTATAAAAATTACCACTACAGTCTGTTATTTCAAATTAGCATCTTCAAAATAAGAGTGATTTGCGGAAAAACCCGCCAGTATCGCACACAACGTCAGTGTCTATACGTAAGCGTACTACAACGCGGCTTCCAAACAAAGGAGTAACAAGTGTGATACTATCACTTCAGGCTAGAACTTTGGTTCTCTCATGCAATGGTTCATCAGAGAGGGGAAGCTCAGTAATCCTCATGGCAATGCTCATGACGCTATTCTGTCACGGCATGAGCCAACGATGCCGGACCTAAACCAACCGTCTCCAGGACCGAGGACCGTTCTGTTGTCTCCAGGATCCATATATAGGAACCATGACTGTTTTCTGGATAACTGTGAACATTTGTGCCCATTAATCTAAATTACAGATCTTGCGCCACTTGCAAAACCCTACAAATACACTTTTAAAAAAAAACGTGTAACAACTCTTTTCGATTTTTAAAAAAGTAGACGACTCTATTCTCAATCTTTTTGCAATCAAAATCATCTACAAACCCTAGGAATTCTAAAGGTACCACAATTTTTGAAATTCATTAAGAAATGGCTAAGTTATGACATTACAAACTTGCCGTTACACGTTTTTCGGAGGCATCGTATTCGGAGTGTTAATGGGTTGCATGCCCATGGTCCTCGACGGATTTAGGAAGCTACGGATACTGGCCACTGTGGAAAAATTACGTCTAGGCGGGTTCTCTGATGCTTCATCGTACTATCCGGATACTAGCCACTGTGTCCAGATTACGTCTAAGAGGGTTCTCTGGTACACCATCGTACTCCTATTTGAAAATTAGCGTAAACTAATGTGTCCCATGTTCTGTCGGGGAGAAAAGTGATTCTCGAAACCGGATTTTGGAAGATACGGAAACTGGCCACCGTTGCTATATTACGTCCGGGATGGATCTCTTGGCGGTTGATGTGTCGCATGCCAATGTTTCGTCAGAAAAAGTGGTCCTCGGAATCGGATTTCGGATGATCCGAATACTCGCCACTGTGACCAGATTACGTCTAGGAATATTTGCTTTTAAAAATCAACCTAAATTGATCTGGCACATGCCCACGTTCTGGTGGAGATAAAAAGTGGTCCTCGAAACCGGATTTAAGATTTACTGGCCACCGTGGCCAGATTACATTCAGGATGGATATCTGTTACACCATCGTACTCGCCTTTGGAAGTTAGCGTAAATTGTCACATGTCCTTTTTCGGTCGGAGCGAAAAGTGGTCCTCGAAGCTGGATTTTGGCCGAAGGTCCCAGAGGATCAAAAAAAACTTCTAAAGAGAAAGCTTGAATTATCTTCCAGATAGATCTTAAGATGCAATCAGGTAAATCGGAACAATGTTCCAGAAGAAGTCGGTAGAATTTTCCGATGGAAGCCAAAAGAAATTTCCGGTGGAGGCCAAGAAAAAAAATTAGCGATAACAAGAAGACATTTCTATGAGAAGCCAGAAAGACTAATCAAGGAAGTTGGAAGAAACTTCAAATGAAAGTTTTAAGAAACTTGCTGAAGAACCTTCCAACGGAAATCAAAAGATGCTATCGTGGAAGTCAGAAGTACTTCTGGAAGTAGCTGAAAATTTCTAGGAAAGTGGGAAGAAACTTCTGGGAGAATTCGGATATATTTTCTGGGTCAGAAGGAACTCCTGAGGGTAGTCGTAACTAAACTTTACGGAAGAAATCGGAAAAAAATTGAAGGTAACTCGGATTTTTTTTTTCAGATTAAGCAACAATACTAACTGGTTAAACTATTTCATACTTTTTTTTTATATATCTTTATTAAGAAGACTTTCAGCCGTTGGCTGGCTCGTCTCCGTATTTCATACTTTATAAATTGTTCTGCAGAGGCTAAACAAAATCTGGTGACTAAAGGCCCAAACGCAATGTGGGCGGAAGCGGAACGGAAACGGAAAGTTTGACAGTTGTCACAAATGACATCAAGCTGCCTAACCGAATTCGATTTGATTTTAACTTGTTTTCAATCCGACAAGTAGGCTTTACTCTGATCGGGCTTTTCCGCTGCCGCTGTCATTGCGCTTGGGCCTTAACTGTCATGCACTCAACTACTTTTCTGGTCGCTGAATTAAAATATTTCTCGATCTCCAGAAGAGCCATCAGCTGTTTCACGTTTCCCGAGAAACCAGAAATGATCGGGAAATGGAAACACTAGTTGGGGGATTGAGAGTTAATAAGCATAATGAATACACAATGTCCAAACGATTTTGTTTGTGGGAAATTCCATGAAGTCTATTTAGCATAATAAATGCATTACATATATAATGGGCTTTACCGGCTCAGATTTGAATCGGTAAAATGAACCGGTACATAAAACCGGTTTATGTATTATGATGGGAAATTCCATGCAGCATAATGAATACATAACATATAGAATGTCTTTTACCGGTTCAGACTTAAGTCGGTAAAATGAACCGGTACAAAACACTTGCTTAAATGTGTCCAGTCATATTTTTTTGGCAATTCCATGAAGTTTATTAAGCATAATGAATACGTTACACATAGAATGGCCTTTAAGGGGCAGTTCATTAACTACGTAGACGGTTTTTTTTGGACAAAAAACGTAGACAATTGTCCATAAAAAAAATTTAAAATTTGTATGGGCCGTGGATAATTGTCACCCCCCTCTCCTAAACTGTCTACGTAGTTTATGAACAGCCCCAAACGGCTCAGACTTAAATTGGTAAAATGAACCGGTACACAAAAACCGGTGTGTCAAACTGTATTTTTTTGGGAAATTCCATGAAGTTAGTCAAGCATAATGAATACATAACATATATAATGGCTTTTACCGGTTCACAATCGAATCGGTAAAATGAACCGGTTTATTAAAACACAGATTTTAGTAATACCAACATCCTCCCA